CCATTCTCACCCATATGTCCTAGTCGTATATGCCAAAGTTTTGTAACTTTCTCATCAGTCAAAAAAGAGGTAGAGACTGTTGTATTCCCTTTAACTGTGGAACCCTGCAAAAAGTACAACTGTGTAAAGTTTTATGTCATTTCATGACAACAAGAGCGCCCCCGACTCACCTTCGAAACTCCACCTTCACCAATGTATTTATGACCATTTTGAGTCAATTGTACTCAAAGATATGAGATTTCGCTTCAATTTTGAAACATGTTTGACATCTGTAAATGTTCTGATAATACCATCAAATATTCTAATTCTAACTACCAATTCCGATAATTTTGCACGACGCGTTGTTTCCCATCATCACTTCACCTCTCAAAACTCTTTTATATGTTGTAAACCAGTCCCTATTAGGACACGTGTGGAAAGTAAAATCCAAGTCAAAAATACATTCCTCACAAAATTTGAAATTCATATCAGAATTCACAAAAAGCTCTCCTTCACTTTGCCTATCTTCCATAACATAAGCTTCCATTGTATTAATAAGTTTCCTGCCTCATTCAGTGACACCAACAGCTTTATTCCTATTTCCAAATAATAACAATTAGTTCTGATATATCCCTTCTTGGAGTAATGACACACATTTTCTACAAGCCTTGATTTCGATCTGTTCTTCACATTCTTACCAAAGTTCCTATCCTGATTTCTCCCACGAACAACTGGGCATTTAGCCTGACTCCCAGATCCTCCAACAAGATCCTCATCTTCTCTTTAGAGATTAAAACATCATAGACCTCTTTCATAGTGGGAGTATCTCAACTTTAGAAAATTTCTTAAAGTCACATGTGACAACGACAATGAACACAACAATATCAACGTTGAGTCCTCCTTATCAGACTTAACCTCCAATATCTCCAAATTGACCACGATTTCTTTGAACATAGTTATGTGATCATCCAATAACACACCTTCAGACAGCCAGTAAACATACAAGCGCTATTTCAAATGTAGCTTGCTGGTTAAGCTCTTTGTCATAAAAAGTTGCTCTAATGCAGTGGTATTTTTCTCCTTAAGGACATCCTGAAGAATCCGATTCGATATATGTAGATGAATTTGGTATTGGGCTTTTTGATCCCTATGCTACTTTTGTTCCTGCGTCCAGGTTGAAGGAATCTTATTAAAGCTAAGCAAGGCTTCCTCCAAATCTATATGCACAAGAACTGCTCGTATCTTTACTTGCCATTCAGTAAATCTCATATTTCGATCCAATAGCGAAATATCATATTTCATCGTTGTCATGCGAAATAATCAACCTTCGCTCTGATATTACTTATTATGAAATTGACCAGAAGATTATAACAATAATGAAATAAACAAGAAGCAATAAAGAACACAAAAATTTACGTGGAAACCCAAGACATGAAAAAACCACAGGCAGAGGAGGTTAATTCACTATAATCAATAGCTATGTGTTTACAACAAGATCACAATGCACTTAACTAAGATCTAAAGCTCTTAAGATGTTGTATAAATGTTATATTATCAAAACAAGTTGTAGCCTATATATATAAGACTCTAGAAAATCAAGTTAAAGATGAATAGGAATCCAAATCGCAATAGAACATGAAACTTCTGTAAACTTGTCTCTTGAGGGGCAGCGAGTGACAGTCCCATCGCTCAAGCGGTAGGCAACCGAGAGGCAGGCAAAAACTTTCTGTTAAAAATTTGATGGTTTCGCTCAAGTAGTCCAAATAGCGAAAAAGCGTCGATTCGATCTCTCCAAAATCATTTCAAACAAGGACTCCAAAACACCCTAAATTTTGGATCACACTACAACATATACATATATTAATATATATAAACTAATTAGTAATTATCAGAAGCTAGCCAAAGGAAGACTAAAAAAAATAAAAGCAAACAAGAAGAGGACCATATATATTTTTAAATTGATTTATTGTCCTTGCAAAACAAAAGAAGAGGTAAAGAGAATTAAATCCAAAAATGTCATGGGAATTCCCTCTCTACAATAAAGACGTGCATTTGTAACGTTCCTTCCAAATTGCCATTTTTTGGACACTACACACTTTCTAATCCATGTACATCTAAAATAATGTCCAGGTTAGAAAATGACTTGTGGGGGTGAGTCTTGTTTCTTGTGGATTTTAATATGTTCACAAAGATAATAGACTGGCTAGGTTTGCGTGCGCATTCAAGAATTATGCTGGTGATACTCCCGAGAATATTGTTGTAATAATGTTTGAAGTATTCTTCAAATCATGCATGCGAATTAATTAGATTTATCTAAACGTTCAAGAATTACTATTTGGTTTAAAAGTTGAGCTGCTTAATCTTCTTCTTCCCTTTTTTTTTTTTAATTTTTATTTTCATTTTCATTTTTATTTTTTTACCATCATTTGCTTTTATCTGGTTATTTAATTACCAGATATGTTGACCTCGCGAATTGGACCTCCACGTGGCCAACCGAGAGCAACTCCACGTGTTCCTCCCTACGCACAACAACACACGGTTAGGAGCACACGGTCGAAACCAACGAGAGTGGTGGCGGCCGCATACACTCCGACGGTCAAGTCAATGGTCGACGATCGGAACAGTGCCGGAATTGTGCAAGAGAGTGGAGAGGAGAATATATAATACTTGAATGTGGAGAGCTAAGTTTAATATGAGTTTCCTTACCTTTGTCTTTTGCCAAACATTGAGTATTTATAGACGAGGAGTATCGTTGGATGTGGGATATGTGTATGCATCTGACGGCGTGAGACGTCCAGTCGTAGGAATCAATGAACCGCATCTAGAGTAAGTGAGTTATTAATTATCCTGAGTTGAGTTGACATAAAGTTGATGTCACATCAACTAGACCCATGGAGATGTCACATCTATAAAGGATCTTGACACAGATATACTTCTGAAACTGGCGACGAAGGTATATGTCAAGGGGGCACCTCAGAGAGCCAAACGCCTCGATTTCAGGGGGACACCTCGATTGTTTCAGTAGATTTAGTTTGTGAAGTGTTTGTCTTGCGGTGTGTCAATGTTGGAGTTCGGCAGAGGTTGACGTCGCTTCGGATTTGGCGGAGGGGCGTAACAAGATATATAATCACAGCTCATTTTATGTCAACCGCAATTGAAACATGGTGTACCAATCTGCATTTTACGTTGATCACAAAACTCAAACTACAAAATTATTCTTATTTGAGCAATATACTCACATAGTAAAATATTAGAATTATATCAAAATTGAAGTAGTATTGAGTAGTGTGTGTGTGTGTATATATATATATATATTTTTTTTTTTGGCGATGTAGGAGCTAGATGTTTTAGGCGTCCATATAATTTCCTAAGAAAGAATACCCATTTATAGTCGCGTGCTATAAATTTTGTTGCTATAGTTAAGCACCCTCCGCCACTAATTTCCTTCACCAAAACAAGAGTAATTAAGAGTATTCTTAATTAACGATGCATAGTAATGAAGGTTTATTGCCACAAGATTTCATCAATCCATTAACACTTGGAAAAATTTATGGTTGGACGGTTTTCAATTAAGGTTGATATTCCATTAGGCTACAAGTTTTCCCCAGTAATTTCTCACTAATTTCCCTCATTTTCTTGAGGTAAATAATAAATTTAAAGGAAATTAAAGTACCACTCAATTTGCCACTGGCAGAAGAGCCCTTTAAAGAATCATATAGCCCATCATTAGATTCTCTTATTCTTCTGTAGTTCTTGCAGCATAGGCTGTGAAGACCTAAATTGGTGTATAAATATTATAAATCATTCTGAAGGAAAAGGTCACATTTACAATACATAGTTGCAACAAAAGGTGGAAACAGAAGGCAGTAAGGGAGAAGAATCTATTTTACATAAAGGACACTTGTGTATTCTAACCAATAGCAAAAGATCTTATCATCCCGACTCCCTCGTGATGAAAATTGTGCACTTCTCGTGACACATAAGGGAGATGTTGAGACTATATAAATGTTTCTACTATGAACAGTTTAAACTTCCATATGAAATACTTCCGAGTGTCTAACTGTGTGATAGACAAGGAAAAAACAGGTGGCGGCCTATTTCCTTTTTTCAGGAGGATTGATTATGGTAAAGCATATGGGGTTGGTGGCAAAATTTATAAAATGAAGCAACTGTTGCTAGCAGATCTATTTAGCAGCTAGCCGTGTTATATGAGGCCAATTTGACGGACCAGCAGCGTTAGAAATGTTAAAGTCTAGGCTTTAAAAGCAGAGGATGGCACAATAATTCTAGTAAATCCAACAATTTTCAATTCCATTATATTTAAAGAGAAATATTGAGCCAAAAACAAAGGAATGAAATTAAAAACCATCGTCATTAAATAGTCCAATTAATTAAATACTCCTTGGCTTGTGTATAAGTCGACTGGCCGACGACTCACGAGCTGGCTTGTCAAATTGAGAGAAATAAGTAGTTTCAGTTATAAAGAATTGACAAGTCAGTTAGACTCAATCCCATCGAGAGGCATGCTCGTGAGGCGATCCAAGCTGACTCACTTCATTTAATACCCCTAAGAGCTTGTGAACCCGTATACATTCAAAGTGAGCCCAGGCGCTGTGGATGTGCTTAAGCTCATGTGCCCCTTTTCAAGCTCAAATGTACAATCCACCTAAAGACCCTATATAGACAGTCTGTTGGCCTGACCTTATATAAAGCCTAACATGACAGCATAATTTCCAAGGTAGCATCGTTGGAAAAACAAAAATTGGATATAAAACTTACAAAATACAAATTAAAGATTATTTTCAAAAATACATTTTTTTCATGTGCACAGTCTTCACTTTTTAACTCCTTTGGTGACAGCATTGTTGACAAAGCTATCTCATCCGTCAGGAAACTATAAATAAGCCTCCATGCAAGGGAGTTGCAATCCTTTCGTCTACAATCATGTGGGGGATGTCCAGCCCGAAACAAACGTGGTATGGATATCAATTAAGAAAGCTAGCAGTGACTTGATCAAATTGAACAGTATTCAAAGAGTGTTAATTTAGTTTATTCACCTCATAATAAGTTACGAAAATGCAAGAACAAAGCATATAACAGAGAGTTAATACATCTAACAGAGGCCACCCCATATGTTATTAAGTTATTTTGTATTTCCAGGCCTAAAATGGCCTAACTACACGTAGAGGAGTGACTTTGAAATACAATGGCAAGAAACAATTATTCATAGTTATATCATATATGTTGAGACCAGTTTGCGTCACTTCCAACTCTAGGCATGCCAGTTTTTCCTTTTTTCGACTCTGAGTCCACCTTAAAGGTTGCACCGCACACTTCGCCTGAACTGTCCACTCTCGGCACTGCCTTCAACTCATTAATGGGATGCTCATAACTCCGTAGACCTCCAGATGACGTGAAGAAGCATCCTGACGGGAATGAGAAAGAAAATGGAACTTTCAATCATAAAAGGAAGAAGAACATTAAGCACTCCATTTTTCATTCAGTTTATTAGAGCATGAATGGGGGTGTTTTCAAGAAATTATAAGCTGTGGGGCTTACGAAATATGTGGATAATAAGTGAGTAATAGTTGTGGATCATACAAAATGTACAGATAAAAATATGTTTACCAGCTCAAATTTTAATTTCAGCTTTGCCAAAGATGCACTTGTATGAATGTCGGATAAAAGAAAAATTATGATGAGAATCCCATCCTCTATCCTCAAGAGCCTCGAGACATTCAAATAAAGAAGGAAATTTCCAAGTGATTTTGTCGTCCAACACGAGGAAATGAAAAAGAGCCTCGAGACATTCAAATAAAGAAGGAAATTTCCAAGTGATTTTGTCGTCCAACACGAGGAAATGAAACATGGCAGTGCAGTCAAAATATATGGAAGCACCTCTCAAAAAGTGAAGTGCCTTCAAAGTTTTATTGCATCAAGTACCTTTGGGGAATGGAGCAAAAGATTTTCCGCAGCCTTGCTTCACAACTTCTCCATCATCAGAGAGCACGAGATGACCTTCGGAATCAGTTCCCCAGAAAAATGGTACACTGCCATCAGCATCCTGTATTAGAAATATTGAAGCATGTAGGGTGAGCAAGTTATAGCCTGTATAAGGTGCTAATGGAATAAAATGTACATGTCAAAGGGATTAAGAATTACTCACAGCTGCAATAAATGTGGCCTTTGATGAGCTGTCATAGAGAATGAATGCAAACTTCCCTTGAATATCTCTTACAACTTGATCAGCGGGATAAGGACCTCTGTCCCTTAAAGTCCTGTAAGCCTCAATAACAATTATCACTTCATTTGCTGTCTTGTTTAATCCATACTGCTGCTTAAGATGCGCAACATTCTCGATGTGGCCTTCAAACAAGCAGAATATGTCGTCCACAACAGCGAACAGTCTTGAAAAAGACAATAAAACAATTAGACCAATCCAATTGTAAACTATCGGATAGCAAAACATTCTGAACTACAAGAAGTAACAATTCAATGAAATGATACAAGAGCATATGAAGTCGTAACATTTGGGCCATTTGATATTGGTGCCATATTGAAGTAGTTATACTCGTAATTATAACCGATGTGGCTGTTAGGTCTACTGTCTAAATCAATCACCCATTCCAACATACATATTTTAGCTAAAAATCATATTTTAAGTAAATTTTGATAAAAGCTAATGAAATGTGTGGTTGAAAAGTTGACAAATGTTGTAAGTTCCATGAAATATGTGATTGAAAATGAGTTTGAAGAAAAATGAAATTTAGAAAATGGAGGCCAAACAAGGGCATTATATGTTCTGACATCATATGTTTTACTTTTATTTACTTCAATATAGGTGCCAGTTATTCAGATCATTGCACGTCAGATTATAGGTCGTGACTGGAATGAATTGACATTCAACTTTTGTACTAAATGAAACATAGGTATTATGTTTTTTTAGATAATATACTAGTATGAGTTCAAAATTTATGGCTTTAACATTTCAACAGTATCTCTCCGAGATCTCTTCTCCTTAGTACTATCGTTCACAGACTATAATATTAACAGAATTTACGTAAAGAGAGAATTGAAAATCTTCAAATTTATAGCATCTTTTCAAGTACAGATCATTTGATGTAGACCAGTACCCACAAAAACACAAACTGTAAGACAAAGATGATCAGATACTGAAATAGTGTCCATAAACAAGATAAAACACTCATCGATCAAGAAATTGAACAATCTTCTACATGTGTTTCCCATAACGCTATCAATATGTTTCGATTATTTTAAGTATAAAAAGTGGCATGAACATTTAACATTGTCTCTACAAAACCTCCTCTTAACAATCGCTCAAAAGCTCTACAACTTTGACCGAATTTATGCAAATGGACGATTGGAATTTTTCAAATTTGTTGCAACTCTTCAATGACAGATCATTACGTCCAGGGCTGGTACCCAGATAAACACAAATAAAGGATAAAGACAATCAGGCACTGAAAAGAGTCTATAAACAGGATAAAACACTCATCAATCAGGAAATTGGCCAATCTTGAATACGCATTTCCCACAAACACTATTAATAGGATAATAACTCCCAAAAAAAACGTAATCAAAAGAAAGCAAGCACACAAAAAAATGGATGTTTTTTTTTTTTTTTTTTCAAGAATTAGAAATGAAAAAATAAAAATAAGAAATAAAAAATAAAAAAATGAAAGGGATGATTACCACCAAAGAACCTACCAACACTTCCCCAATTTTGTTCAAAAATAAAGAAGCAAAAGCAAGATCCATCATCCATGAGTCCCCACCATTATCAACATCCAAAAACACTCTCTCTCTCTAATTAAGAAAATGCATACAAACAGATAATATCCACATAAACTATAATCATTAAAAAGAAAAAAAACCAATATCCAGATCAGATCAAGAAGGACTAAATAAACACATAATATGCATAAACTACCTCGGAAGAAGAGGGTTTTGCTTATCAGAAGAGTATGACATGAAACCAGATGAACCAAGATTAATAATGACAGAGCCAGGGTGCAGGGACGAGAAATGGCTAGCCAAGGATCCATCTTTGAGTGCAAACGCCGATTTTGCAATATGTGAGCTCTGCAGAGCCTCGGGGCTCTTGGCCACCGTCTTATCAAACACCGCCAGCATTTTCTTATCTTGGATTTTCTTGATTTCAAATGAAAAGACAAGATGGGATCAGCAAATTATGGGTCGTTTCTTGACTTCTTGAATTTATTTATATGAAGTACGAACATGAGGAGCATGGACGATATTCCAAGGACCATATATATTAGTACCACATTTTTTAATAATTATTATACTTCATTATTAATAATTTAATATAGTAATGGATAATTAATTAAAAAACTCAGTCACTTAAATTGAAGATAATATTTACTAATAAAAGAAAATTAAGCCCTTATTTGATAGGAATTACATGTCAAAATTAAAAATTAATTTAATCAATGTAAAAACAATTGTGAACACGCGCGAGAAACTGCCTAAGAGACAGTACACTTTAGGTGTTGAAAGGGTTGAAATTTTTTCCTTGTAAACGTGTATTGGGTGTTGAGATAATCATAAAATAAAAAAAGTAAGACGGAAGAAATGTGCCGACAATTTAGACGTGTAAAATGGATCGGCCCAATTTTTAGGCACTTGTGACACAGGCCTAGTGATGGGCCTTGCTGGGCTCAAGGCACTTGCAAATTTGTCATCTTCTGTAAATTTGAGATGAAAGAATTGTAAGTTTATAGAAAAATAATTATTCTTATTTCTTACTACATGCTCGAGCAAGCCGGTCGACACAAGCCACGTGCCTTTACAGCCCACATCACTTTCCAACCTCAGAGATAAGCCAAGGTTTTCACGTCTTCGGCTGCTCTATTAATTAGTACATTTCGTCACCTCTAATTCTCATTGTATAATTCAACAGATCCTCCAAGAAACCAACCTGCTAGAGTTCGTCCTCCTCCTCTCCCCATTACTACACCATGGGAGCAGAAAGCAGGTGAGCCACCAAAATTATTCATCGGTTAAGTAACAATATTGTTGAATAAATCTAAGTCGTTGCTGCAAATACAAAAATTCGCATCAATTTAAGTTATTGTCATCACGATCATTGTCTTTTAAATATTTTCAACATACTTGGCACTGTGATATAGAATTAACAAGGAAAATACAAATACTTTTGACGTCATGAAAAGTTACCATGAATTTTCTTAACCGGATCGGGTGCACTACCAAAATGCAAGCCGAGCTACACCCCTGAGCAGAATTGGCAGGGCCGGCCCTGGGGCAACCGCCTAGGGCCTCAAAACTCATAGTAATACCATTATATTAGCACAACAATCCATGTCTGATTCTATTATACCAACAATTCAGCAGGGCCTCAAAATATTGTTACACGTGTAAAAAAAAAATAAAATATGGGCTGTGAGAAAGAAATATTTAGGCATGCCAACACAAACTTATGACTTGTTCGTGCACAGCATGTGCAATCCTATCCTGTCAGACAGCCAGACATGGCTATACTTATGTGAATCTATTCAATTCTCTCTATAAAAAAATTTATGTAAATGACCAGTCAAGGGAATAAAATAACTCAACCACTACTCATTCTTGCATTACAAGCAAAAAGTTTTTATCATAGATGATGTGCGCACATGTAGGACGTACACAATGTGCATATATGACATATCCCTAAAAAAACATAGTCAAAACCATGACATGATCTATCCCGTGTAACATTAGCAGGCATAAAACATGACATGTCGACTATGAATGCTAATTGTATGTCAAATCTATCATCATAATTTTACGTGATACGAATCTACCCACAAGTGATTAAAAAAAATATTTTTATAATTTTATTATCACCAAATCCATATTTCCATGAGTGAAAATCTTATTATACGCTTTAGTAATCTAAATAACGTAGATAAACCATAATTTATATTGTTTGCAAATAAATTGTGATGAAGAAGGCAACAATTCCTTTGAATAAAATTGTTCCTGAATTACTTGGGACATGAAATGATAGAGATTTTCTGTCTCAGGGAACAAAAGAGTCTGATTAGTCTTAGAAAATTCAGAAAACTGCATCAAATAGATAATCAAACCAAGTTTATGAGGCTTCGACCAAGTCATTATAGCCCAGAAGTTTAAGGTATGTTTAAAAACGCTGTATTGTATAGGATTGGACACTACACTTTTTCTTCCTTGATCGCATCTAATCATATCCAATGCACTTGACCAACGTCCAATAAAAGGAGTCAAATTTCTATATAGGGCCAGGAATCAAGAAACCGAGCTGCTCAGCTAAAACATCTGCATCCTCTTCAACTTCTCCCTCATCAACAAATGTCTTAATCTTACCATCAATACACTCATTTATAAAATCTTCCCAAAATCCTACATCAAAGGAATTATCTGCATTTTCTTGATTTTCTATGTCATAATTTTTCTGAAAATGTTCTTCCCCCATATTTATTGAGACTCCACTTGGTTCTCCAATAATATCACCATATTCTTGAGATTTAATAAAAATGTTACCTTCATCTCTATCGAGTAATTCAACATTGTCAATGAAAGTACTTGTTTCTTCACCAACTTGGACTCGACCATGATCAATTCTCTTCCTTCTCTTCTTACAAATTGCCTCCTCAAGTTCTTTTCTTCTATCCTTCTGTTGGACTACCTGTTGTAGAAAATTAGGATTTTGAATTGCCTTTGCCAAGAAACTCATCATTTGTTGTTGTTTCATTTCTGTCTCTTTTAACTTTTGTTCCATTGTTTTAAGGTATGCATTAATATTCTGCTGCTGTTGTCTGAGTTTCATCAATTCCACGGTTAAAATCTGTTTATCGCGCCTTAACTGATCAATTTCTCCATCCAATCCAAACTTTCCCACTTCAACATACGAATCGAAACCTTGATGTGAAGCTTGAGGATTAGATGATGTTTTTCTCCTAATATTTTTCAAAAGATGTCTTTGACCCCTCAAAAACCCTTCATTAGCAAACTCGCATTTGTCGGGATCAACCTTCCTAAATCCCTGCATAATTTATGTTCACAAGCGAATGACAACAAAAGTGAAATGCTTCATTGAATATAACTGGTGCATCAAATAAATATAATTGAAACAGAAACATATTTCGAAGATAATGAAAGAGAGACTATGTCTTAACTAAACCATAACACAAACTAATAGTTGATTGAAAAATAAATATAGAAGATAATGAAAGAGCGATAATTTCCTTTCTAATGATTGTTAAGTTGTGAGGCCTAACTTTATTAAAGAGTTGAAGTGCTAGTAAAATTTGGTTTTGCACTATTTTATATTATAAATAGGAAACACTCCTTAGTTTTTTAATAACCATCAAATAAAATGAGAAATGGGAGGTTAGGGAAGATAAGTGTGCGATTTTCTCTTGTAAATTTTTCTTTTTATCATATTGAATTACTACCATTGTGAGAGAGGAAATAGTTTCACATTGAAGTGAACCTCTATAAATCTTGCTCTGAGTATTTATTTTTCTTTTCTTTAAATTAATTGCTCTTCGATGAAATAGAATTAGGTTTATGATTCTTAACAATTGATATCAGGGTTTTTGATTTTAATTGAGAACAGTAACTGGAGAAGAGTGAACGTCGCTGGAATCTACAAATTTGATGGTATGGATTTTGTGTTCTAGAAGATGCAGATCGAGGATTATCTGTATGGTAAAAAACCTTACCATTATTTTTCGAATGAAAAGCTGGCAGGAACAATGTCTGTGTACTAGTCATATTGGCATCACAACCAAATAGTTGGGAACCTGTGAAAGTTAAACTCATTAACTCTATAGGCAATGCGAAACTGAAATTAACTGAGGATCATGACACCATTCTTGCTGAAGAAGTCCACAGAAGAGATTCTGTAGAAGTCCCAATGTCAAGTTCTGCTCTTATTGTTGAGAATAGGAGAAGGGGTTTCTAGAATAATTCCAATAAAGATAACGATGGAAGTGGACGAATGGTAGAAGCAAGTCCATGTCTGAAAAGTGTGTTGAATGCTGGAACTGTGGCAAGACAGTTCACATAAAAAAAATGCAGATCACCAAAGAGTGGGGAAGAAAGGAAAAACGACGGTGCTAATGTGGTTATTGAAGATGTACAAAATACTTTACTCTTATAGGTTAACAGTCCTATTGATTCTTAGGTGATGGATTTAGTAGCTTAATTTAACACTACTGCACATCATGAGATTATGAAATATTATATTGCTGAAAATTATGAATAGCTATATCATGTTGACGGAGAATCTATGGACATTATTAGCATTAGTGATGTTAGTTTGAGGATGTCAACCGGGCCTATATGAAGAATTCATAAAGTGAAGCATGTACCTAAACTGATGCGTAATCTGGTTGCAGTTGCAAAACTTAATTATGAAGGTCATAATGTGAATTTTGTTGTTGATTGTAGGAAATTTATTGCTCAAGGAAATAAATCTGGAACTCTTTACATAACTTCCAATTGTAGAGATATGGTTGAGAATGGAAAGAAAGAGGTTCAGTCTAAAGGGTAACTACCTGAGTTGAAATAGATGTGCTGGATTGACAGGAATTTTTACAGGGTTTGGGTCCCAAACCCTGGAGCCATTCCCTGTTTGAATGGCTTTTCCTGAGTTGAAATCTGTTGAACACAATTTGCGTGAAAGCTATATTTTCGACAAGCAAAAAAGAATTAGTTTCTCTAAAATTGAAAGGGAATCAAAAGCCACAAAATTGGAGTTTCAACCCAAGAGATACAGTAGAATTGCTAGACCTCCACGAAGATATTATTCAGCATTGCATTATATTCTATTGACTGATAGAAGTAAACCAAAAGTTATAATGAAGCTGTACAAACTCATGAATCAATCAAATGGGAGTTAGCCATGAAGGATGAGTCGGACTTATTATTGTCCCAAACATGCCAATTGACTGAGTTACTAAAATGAAAAAAGACTTCGCAGAATAAATGAGTTTCTTGTTAAAAGAAGAATATGATGGAATCTTAACACTTGAGAAGATTCAAGGTCGTCGAAATCCGACAAACGTGTTGACAAAGACAGTTCCAATCAAGAAACTGAAATGAGGAGTCATTGCCGTTGTAAAGGAGTCATTGAAGGTGATTTTGTCTCCAAGTGGGAGATTGTTAAGTTGTGGAGCCTAATTCATTAAGGGCCTTTTAGAAATTTATATTAAGAAATTGAAGTCTTAATTATTGTCAAGTTGAGGAACCTAATCTTGTAAAACTCTACAAGGAATTGGAGACATAATAGTTGTTAAATTGTGAAACCTAATTCTATTAAGGAGTTGAAATCTTTAAAAGATTTGGTCTTGCTCTATTTTATCTTATAAATAGGGAGCCCTATATTTGTGATGTTTCTCTTGTAATTTTTTTTTAAACATATTGAATTACTGCAGAGACAAGAGAGTACGTAATTTATATTGATACGAACCTCTATAAATCTTGCATATTTTTTAGCTCTTATTTCTCTTTCTTTAAAATGATTACTCTCGATGGAACAGAATTAAGTTTATAATTCTCAACAATAAGTAACTTAGGAAAGATATATATTAACTATGAAGTCAAAGTATTATTTTTATAATCACATTAATTTTTGAAAATAATCACAAAAGAGAGAATTGTCCTATTAAATCATAAACAAATAACCATTAAAGTGAAACAGGAAATATGGAAATAAAGAAAGAGAAACAATTTCCTATATAAATTATAACAAAAAACTATCATTGTATCATGTTAATCTGAGTGGACCAATTCATTACTATTTATAGATAAACGAATAATAGAATTTATATACCTATTCTTTTAAAATTAAATTGAAAAGAAAAAAGATTTATATAATCACATAAATTATGAAAATAACATGAGATCAAAATAATTTTATTTATTTTTTTTTTTTTTTAACCTAGTTGAAAGTATCATTGATCTGAGATTTATATAGAAAGGATCTAAGGAGTAAATCTAGATATGGGTGTGGAGAAAACTCAATAAATAATGAACAATATGCAATGTAGATATTGAAAAATAGTCTAGACATAAAACATTTCAGACTTTCCCTTTAAAGTCACTGAACAAACAAAAGGCCTACATTACGAAATACATTAATTCGAAAAGAAAAAGATTTTATATAATCGCATAAATTATGAAGATACCATGAGATCAAAACAATCTTTTTGTTATTTTCAACCTAGTTGAAAGTATCATTGATCTGAGATTTATATAGAAAGGATCTAGAGAGCAAATCTAGATATGGGTGTGGAGAAAATTCAATAAATAATGAACAATATGTCATGTAGATATAGAAGAATAGTCTAGACAAAATACATTTCAGACTTTCCCTTTAAAGAAAAATCCATGGACCGACCCAGCATCGTATGAGATAAAATAATTTGAAAAGAAAAAGAATTTATATAATCACTTATATTATGAAAATACCATGAGATCAAAACAATATTTTTCTTATTTTCAACCTAGTTGCAAGTATAATTGATCAGAGATCTATATACAAAGGATCTAGAGAGCAAATCTAGATATGGGTGTGGAGAAAACTCGATAAATAATAAACAATATGCAATGCAGATATTGAAGAATAGTCTAGACATTTTAGACTTTCCCTTAGTCATTGAACAAACAAAAAGCCTACAGTATGAAATAGATTAATTCGAAAAGAAAAAGATTTTATATAATCCCATAATTAAGAAAATGCCATGAGATCAAAACAATCTTTTTCTTAATCACATAAAGTACGAAAATACCATGAGATCAAAACAATCTTTTTCTTATTTTCAACCCAGTTGAAAGTTTCTGGATTCATACAGAAAAGATCTAGAGAGCAAATCTAGATATTGATGTGGAGAAAACTCAATAAATAATGAACAATATGTAATGCAGATATTGAAGAATAGTCTGGAAAGTCATTGAACAAACAAAAAGCCTACAGTATGAAATACATTAAAGCAAGAGTAAAATACTACTTCATTCTAGTCTCTTCATGAACATGAATATAAAATTATAAATAAAGGCAAACAAATCTAGGGCACCCCATTTGCACTACAGTACTTAAAAATCATTAAAGTGGATTTCAAGAAGATCTCGACTGTGACAGCACAATATACAAAATTTTAACAACGAGAAAAAACTTACGTAAGTGTTAAGCTGTCGGACAAAGCTTGAGAAATTGTTGTGTTTGAAGTACCTAGGAAGAAGATTCATGGCAAAGGCTTGGGGATCCCAAACAATGAAACTGTTGTTACCTCTACTCCAAGAAACGACATCGTCCGTGTTTGGATCATCAACAAGTTCATAAGTTTTGTTAAGGAAAGGTGGAGGGGCTATTTCATGGAGCCCCTCCAATGGCTGAGGAATACCCATTAATGGTTCATCAGAATACAGTGAGTTCGATCTTGGGAATTCCTCCTTAATCGATTGTAAAGGATTCATTTTTTATTTTATTTATTTATTTATTTTTGTAGATATTGTTTAAAAATATATCGAAAAAAAGGTAATATTATGAAAGTGGCATTGTTTTCTTGAAGAATAGTGTGGTATTGGAATCAGGGAATAAGTTTTTTAGCTAAATATCAAGACACAGGGGAGAAAAAATAGTGCTGGTATGAACTGGTTGGGAGTGGTGAGTTTTATGAATAGGTCATTGGAAACGAATATGCAGGGTTTATTATTCTTTATAACAACGCTTGGGAACTTGAACAGGTGTCATGTTGATGAAGCAAGCAGCACAAAATGGTCTTCAGATATTTCCAAATCCGCCTTGCTACATGTACACCGAGCCTTAAAGCTCGATGTACAACCCCCTCACATGGGGGGTGGGACCCGCGCATTAAATGGGCGTGAGCCCCTCCCCTCCGGTGTACAAGGAGCATTATTCTTTCCAAATACCCTCACCCCACTCCATCAACTCACCCACTCACTAAGCTAACAGAGCCAGGTCGGGCTGGGAAAGGGCCAAGGGAAGGGAGATCGATCGGTCTATTTTGATTCGATTTTCAAGTACTCCACCGAGCCATCCAATGTTTGGGTCGTTGGAGATGAGATGAGGGAGGAGGAGAAGGATCTTCCCTACTCCTATTACATTTGATACTGATAAATCGATTTAACAAGTTATTAGATTTGCAAATACCCCCGACTCACCCAATTCATGAGGGGAGTGACTTTCGTGACTCCTATTTAAAATTGACCCCCTATCCCCCACAGGTCACCCATGCACCAAATCAACTAGGTGAGTTGGGTAGGGCAAGGTTGAGGGTGCGGAGAGGAAATGGAGCTTTTCTAATACTCTTAAAATTTGTACAGATCGAACGAATCATTTATTTAGTGATGCAAGGGTTCCAATTTTTTAATTGAACAGCTTGCAAGGAGTAGATCATAATATAGGAATAATCTCCTAAGTACCTATGTTAAGCACTGATGACATGACATAGAAGATTATTTTTGGATCATAATATAACTACATTGAATGAATTTTATATACAATCGATGAAGTGGTTACGCACTAATTCGCCGGTTCGAATTAGGTTGCATTAAAATGTTTTAGAAAAAATTTTCAGCTGTTGAAGGCAAAGATAAAATATCTAGAATCAACTATGCAAGATTAAAACATTAGTGTGTTTGTACTTGATTATTAGTTTTTGTAGAGAAAAATATTGTGGCACAATGGTGATTGGGCAGGACTATTAAAACCGATGAGCTTGTGGGCTGGATCATTTTATCGCTTGAGCTGGGCTGACCAGATTGGCATAAAACGTGTGTTGCTGAAACCCGTTTTTCTTTAATAAGAATAGACGCTCCAGATCTTGCCAAGTGTCACTCTACTCACCGTTGATGAGGAACCTTCTAGCTCCTTCAATATTAATCTGGTTCTAGGGTTTGAGATTGAGTGATTTTTCATTTTTTTTTACTAGCTCTCTTTCTCGAACTATCTGTTCTCTGCACTCAAAAAGGCCCCCTGTATATTTGAATGTAGATTCAGCCCTATAATAGATCTTGTGTGGTTTTATAGGGTGTAATCCTTGAGTGGATATTCTAATATGCAGTGTGGGTTGTTGTGTGCGAAATCTTGATGTGATCTCGCATGAGTGCCATAAACTGTGATCTGTAATTTTTGGAGATTCCGGTTAATATAGTGATTCCTTCTGGTGGCGGAAGCTCAAAAGGGAATTGGAACGCCAATTCCGAACCTCTTGCCTTAGGGCGAAAATATCGTGTTCTTTGCGTTTTTTCTTATGTTTCTTTCATTTGCAGTTTATTATTTCTTATTTTTGTGAAACAAAGTGGGCTGATTTTCTTGAACTTCTCCTAACAGTTTTTACATTCTAATTTTCTATTAAGAAGCATAGAGTTTCTTAAAGTGAAATTTCAAATAAATTATTATAATATTTAGAAAAAAGATGAAGATATATTAAATTTGTTAAATATAACAATAACTTTTTTAGATACGAGAATGCCAGCATTGAGTTTGGCTGTTGTAATGGAGACCTAAAGAAACTGTGCACAAAAATATCTTGGCTTAGGAAAAAGTTAAAGAAATATTTAGACAACTAAATATTATAATATACCTTAAAATAATAGTTCCAATTTCAATATTAAAATATTTAGACAACTAAATATTATAATATACCTTAAAATAATAGTTCCAATTTCAATATTATGACACTTTGTCATACACACAAGGGTCCACTCTCTTGATTATTGTCATTATTGCATCTAGGTAAATAATTTTTATATACAAAACAAAATGCTTCTTGTAAAAAAGTTTGTGAAATAAGATGAAGACAAAAAGAATAAAAATAAAACGTTAGCCTTCGTATTCAACAAAAAAAAAAAAAAAAAAAAAGCCAAGGAAATGAAATGGTTTGCAAGGCAAGACATACGAAGTTGTAAAATAAAGATATGTATCAGGATTACTATTAAAAGTGAAATATTTCTCCTCACCATAATCGAAGAGACTATCGACTTTTGTTTTATAAACTTCTCTGTGGTCATGAAATTGCCTCAATCGTACTTCACATATTTTATACCTCTAAGATAAATGATGTAGGTGAGGTCAATATATATATATATATATATATATATAGTCAGTTAATTAATTATTGCCTCGGACAATGTTGGTGCAAATTAAACAAGCATTAATGACATGTTTCATGCTAGAATAATATGGGTTCCTGTAAACAGTTTTGCTAGAGGTACAAGATTTGGTACAGATACACGTGTCGAAGCTCATTCAAGGATGGAAAAAAAATAAAAGACAGATAGACAAATAAAAAATCTGTGAGTTATTCCCTGTACGTGGGATTTTATTCCCTGTACGTGGGGAATAACTCTCCGATAAAATATATAGAAACTTACTAAAAATATGGAAAGTGTTTTATATATAGGTGCATTTGTCTTAGACCATTACGTTATAAATTTTAAAAATGTGAGTTTTATTTGTATCAAGATAGGTAATCTCACATGAATTTTACCAGAGGAAATAAGGGTCTGGCTTATTATCGACTCACAATTCTAAAGTCGAAGTATAACATGTCAAGGATTGCTTCATGAACGTTTATAGACTAGTCAGGCTCGATATGTTCTCACCGCCGAGTTTGCAAAAGTGAGAATGAGACAAATATAGCCAGGTGTGCACCTCGTGGTAGGTAAATATAACTGGCTTTATTTTATTATTTAGCAATTGATTTGATAATATTTAATTATTAATTTAAACGTGGAAGTAATTCATCCACGTCATTTAGATTATTAATGCATAACAAGTGTTCTGCTGTTGTTGAATAAGTACAATTAATGTTGTGATTGTCCCATATCAAATATGAATAGGGTTGGTATTCAATTTATAAGTATGAAGGAAAGTTTCATCTCTTGAATTAGGTTTTGGGGTAAGAGAAGTTCGATACCATCCAACAATTAAAAACTTACAAATAATAATCCGAGCCATTAAGATTTTGAAGTCAAACTTTAATTAAAATAACTCCCAAAAAACAATATCCAAGCCAATCACAAGCAACTATTAACCTAACATAAACTTTGTTTTACTTAAGAGTCTTAGTCATTTCTCTGATCCTATCATCAAGAGAACCCTATATGATGCGGTGTAAGCGTCAAGAAAATGTACACGAAATGCAAATTGTTTCTTCTTAAATATAGATTTAAATTGAAAATTGATCAAATATTAATTTTTTTACTGTTCATTCAAATTCAACTAGAATAAAAAGCCTATAATGGAAGTTTATGTAGTAGGAAAATATAAAAAATGAAGATCATCACTGACTTAAAATCTATTATTTTCTAGTTAGTGTCCCATTGATTTACCAACATATAGTTTTACTGCAGATATGCTAGAAGAATCTTATTACTAAAGCTAGAGGGATCTAGAATTGTCGCCATCAACCTGTACCTCTATAAATAGGGGATGGTGCATGGTGAAGTGAGTGAATGAGAGAAAGAGGAAGTGAAGAGTGCAAGAAAGAAGTGTGTGAAGAGAGATACAAAGAAAGAGAGGCACGCATATACAAGTGGTATGTGTGAGAAATTAATCAAGTTAGTGGAGTAATAAAATTAATAAGTGAGGTGCTTTTTTTTATAGTGTGTTTGTAATAAAAATTAATTGTCCAAATTTGTTTAGTAATAAAAGAGAATTTCCTTTGTGCTTCAATCTCAACAATTTGGTATCAAAGTCAAGTTATCGGGGAAAGATTTTTGAGCTTCTTGAGTTCGTGCACAAAAAGAGTTTGTGAAGTTTTTATAAAACTTGCTTGATTACGAGAATGTAATTTAAGGCACAATGAGTGACTTATAAGCGGTAGGCAGAGTAAAGAAGCTCAATAATCAGAAATTACACCACATGGCAAACTTGCATAGAGTCATATCTCCAAGGGCAAAACCTGTGAGAGGTAGTTGGCAAAAGTGATGTAATGCCACCAGAGAAGATAGGAGCTCTGAAAAAGTGGAGAATCAAAGTGAGTAAGACTTTGTTCATTATAAAAACAACAATCGAGAAAGAATTATTAGAGCACATAAGTGATGAGAGCACACCTAAGGAAGTATGGAACACTTTAGCCTCACTATTTTCAAAGAAAAATGATCTGAGATTATAGCTTTTGGAGAACGAGTTTCTCTCAATTACTCAAGGAGAATTAACGGAAAGTCAATATTTTAATAAAGTTAAATCCCTTGTGCAAAATTTCAGAGTTAAATTCTTTAAGTAAGATTTCGGAGTCTCGAATGAGAAGAATAATTATATATGGATTGAGATACAAGGTTGGCCAAGGCAATCTTCATTAGTTAATCTCCAAAATTTGTTGGCCAACCAAGAAGCATTGACCGGAGAAATGTTAGGGGTCTCAATAAAGAAAGAGGATGAAAAAGCATTATTTGGCTACAAAAGAAGAGGTTGACCCCGTCAGCAAAATAATAAA